TTACTCCTTTAAATCATGAGGACACACAAAACATTGCAGGAATCTGTTGGTTTCTGGCATTCTGTAAAGGAGAATAAAGTGACAGATTCATAGTTCTTTTTTTACTTGTTTTTTTTTTTCTTCTGTGAATTTTAAATTGCATACCACAAAGAGGGCTGTTTCATGTTGACTGGAATGAGGATAAAAAGTTATTTTTTTGTAAGTAAGATAGCATGGTGTGTTAGTTAAGGTAAAGCTGGCTACTGTAACAAATAATCCCCATATTCTCTATAGGCTAAAATAATAGAAGTTTATCTGTGACCACTAACAATCCAGCCCCAGTGGTCCTGGTGAGTGGGAGCTTTTTCCCTCATTCAAGAACAAGGCTGTCTCAGTTGGTGGCTCCACCCTGCCAAAGTTTCTCAGAGATCTGTTCATCCACATGGAAGGGATGTGAAAATAAATAAGACACACCTGATCCTTAAAAATCCCAGCCAGATACAACACATGTCACTTCCTCTCACAGTCCATTGCTGAGCACCCTGGGTGAAAGGGAAATTGTGAGACTGGCTGGAGGCACCGTGGTAAAACATGATGTTCGGGGGGATCTGGGGCGGGGGGACTGATGTGCATGGAAAGGTTCCAGATTTGTGTCCAGAAATCTCTCTGAGTACAATGGGCATGCACTGCCTATGATATCTGGGGCTGGCTGAATCTAGAAGTGCGTCTTGGCATCAAGACCCTGTTTGGGGTGCCATTTCTCTTTGTCTCTCTTTTGCTCATAAAAGAAATAAAGTTTTTGTAAAAGAACAAAAAAAAGGAAACTGTCTTAGTTTGGCAACCACTTCCTAGCAACAATTTTACATGTGGACAAAAGAGCATGAATTTGGGGGGAGGGAGGAAAACAAAAAGCTTCGGAGATAGATAACCTCGAGTTTAAACTCTGAAGCTGCCACAAGCTAGGTGACCATGGGTGGATTAAAGTAATTTGCTTAATTCTTTTGAACATCAGATTACTCTTCTACATTTTTTAAAAAAATAATTGTTCTGTATATTAAGGGTATTGTGTAAACTGTGCTCATTGTAGAGAAGTTTCACCAAGTAAGAGTCTTCTGAGCCCAAGAGGCAAAAATCTGACTCACAGAGTTAAAGCTAAAAAGGGAAGATTTGTTGGTTATTAAAGCCAGATCAAGGGACAGATGGCCTCGTGGGCATCTGGGTTCAGAGATGGAAAAGTTGCTAGCATGCTGTCTGATTTTGCTTCTTGTTACTTCTCCTTGGTACATGTTGGACTCACTGGCTTCCATTGCAAAAAGCTTTTTTCCCTCCAAGTGGTAAGAAGTATAGATACAACCCTGAACTCACAGCTCAATCCCAGTTTTGCTACCAACTCCAGCTTGAAAAATTTAAGAGAAGGACACAGATGTTCCAAACTGGGTTCCAAGTCTACAACCCACAGTCAAAGAAGCAAATCTCTTAACAGAAGAAAATGAGGGTATTGGAGAGACAAGAGATAAGTTAGTGATGTTCAATTTGTGGCAGCTGTTTTTGGTTGAGGGATTTCATGCCAACTTGCTGAGTTGACTTCAACTTCAATATGAAGAATTTCTCCCTACCTTTCCATTCTTGGACCCTGGCAAGAATCCCTGTACAGCATCCCACCTGAGATGGCTCTTCTCTGGATCCAGAATTAGCTCTGTGTTCCTCCTCATCATCAAAACTCACTTTCTCACTGCAGTCTTATCTCATGAAGAGAAATCAACAGATAAATGGATTCCTTTATCCAGGAAATGAGTATCTTCTAACAAATCAATATTCCAAAAGGAGAGGGGATGCTATTGAACCAGAAAATCAAACAATCATCTTTTCCATGGGAGTATTTTACGTGATCACTACCATCTCTCCCATGTGGACCCTTTTAGGGGCATGGCACCCTTTTTTGCCCTTGTATGCCTTTGACCCATAAGCACAGATTTAAGAAAATTCTCTGGATCCAGAATTAGCTCTGTGTTCCTCCTCATCATCAAAACTCACTTTCTCACTGCAGTCTTATCTCATGAAGAGAAATCAACAGATAAATGGATTCCTTTATCCAGGAAATGAGTATCTTCTAACAAATCAATATTCCAAAAGGAGAGGGGATGCTATTGAACCAGAAAATCAAACAATCATCTTTTCCATGGGAGTATTTTACGTGATCACTACCATCTCTCCCATGTGGACCCTTTTAGGGGCATGGCACCCTTTTTTGCCCTTGTATGCCTTTGACCCATAAGCACAGATTTAAGAAAAAAAAAAAGGAAAAAGGCTGAAACATTTTTTTTGTTACATCTAAGTAACTAGAGGAAAATAAACACAAAGTATAATACAACAAATAAAAGTCTAGTTTAAGAGATAAAGGCTTCAAATTTCATCATAGCTAATTTGCTTCCCAGAGTCTCAAAGGAGGAAAAGAAACTCCCTCTAAGCATAACCCACCAACTTTAATTTTTAGATTTTCTTGTACTGCTCAGGAGGGAGAAGAGCCTGAGGTTGACTCCTGTTTTAGCTACGTACAAGCTCTGCATGATGGTTAGTTTTGGGTGTGTATCAAATTCCCTCAACTAAAGAATACCTACAAATCTGATAAAGCATTACTCTGGTCTTGTCCCTGAGAGGTTTTCCGGAAGAGATTAACATACAAGTCTGAGTTGACTAGATTTGCAAGATACTCCCTCAGCCTAGGTGAGCATGATCCAACCAAGATACAAGAAGAGAACAAACATGGAAGACTTATGAGTCTCTTCTGAGACAGGACAAGATAGACTTCTGCTGCCTTGGGTGTTATAACACAAGGCTTACTTGCCTTCAGACTTCAGGACTCCCACTAGAATCTCTTCAGATTCTCAGGATTTCAATCTTGGCAACTTCCCTGTCTCTGAAGTCTTCAGGTTTGAACTGAGCCAAACTACCAGAACCCAGGGCATCCAGCTTGTAAATGGCCTGTTGAGAGATGTCTCAGCTGCCATCATCATGTGAGCTCATTTCCCCAATAAATCCCCTCTTATGTCTTCCTGGAGAACCTTCATTAATAAACTCTATAAACTTGAGTAAGTTATTTAACCTTTCTGGGACTCAATGGATAATGCCTAACTCTCAAAGGTGGCTTAAGTATTTATTTGCTCAGGCTCCCATAACAAAGTACCGCAGACTAGGCCTCTGAAACAAGAGAAATTTGTCTCACAGTTCTGGAGGATGGAAGTCCAAAATTACGTTGCCAGCAGGATTGTTTCCTTCTGAGGCTGTGAAAGAGAATCCATTCCCTACCTCTCATCTAGCTTCTGTAGTTGATTGGCCATCTTTGGCATTTCTTGACTTGTAGATGCATCACTCTTACCTCTGCCTTTACTTCATAGGAATTCCCCCTCTGTGTGTCTCAAATTTCCCTTCCTTATAAGAATACCAGTTACATTGTACCGAGGGACTACCCTACTCTAGTAAGACTTCATCTTAAGTAATTTGACCTGAAACCATTCTATTTCCAAAGAAGGCATATTTTGAGGTAATTTAACATGTGAATTGAGGGTGGGGGAAGGGACATAATTCGACCCATAAGAAAGAGTAAATAAAACAATGTACATAAAGCATTTCCCACAATGTCTGGTGTGTGTTGGTGCACTGAGCCACCACTCCTTTTGTGATGCTCATGATCTTCCTGGTTTTATGCTAAACCATCTGCTCCTCTCCCAGGGATGCAGCTGTCCCTTGCAGTCTTCACCCATCAATTTTCCACATTTGTTCTCTCCTGATATCATGCCCACCTACACTGAGGGAGGATCTTACAAATCTAGTTAAGATGAAAGAAGGAGACCAGTAGCAGGTGTGTATTGCTAACACAACACTCCATGATGCTGAGGCCATATGAGAAGGCCTTGTGTTCCAGTCCCAAGGCTTTCCTATACACAACAGGTACACATGAGCCCATGAATCTTGACTGACTGAGGTGAGAGTGGATTGTGGTATGAAGACCCTTTTGGGGTATCTGTCAGTCTGTATCTCTCTCTAATGCTCTGTCTCATGGAAGAAATAAATAAAACTTGGGGGGAAAGATGATATAAGAGCCATGGCATGACTTATACACCAATCATAACAAATAATTCAATAATATTATCATTTCTGTCATTTATATAATTACCATGTTCTAGCTACTATTCTAAACACTATTTTAAATTCATTTTCTTAATTCCTTAAAACAGCTCTATAGGGACCAGTGGGTGGTGTGGTGATTAAGGCGCTGGATACTCCCACATGGCTGACCACAGTTCAAATCCTGGACCTGGTGGCTTGCTTTCTCACCTTCTCTCTCTCTCTCTCTCTCTCTCTCTCTCTCTCTCTCTCTCTTTGTATCTCATTGGTCAAATTAAAAAAAAAAGAATGAATAAATAAAGTTAAATAATTTTTGAAAACCAGCTCTATAAGCTGTTATTATTCTTCATATTTTATAGATGAGGAAACTGAGAAAAGAATATAGTAACTCACCCAGAGGCATACAGACATTAAGTGGTAGAACCAGGAGTACAAACCAGACAGGTGGGCTCTAGACCTCTGATCTTGATGAACAGTCACCCCAGAGTTGTTCCTTGTGTCCTCCAAATATTTCTCCAATGACTAGTTTTAAACATATTTGGGGGACAAGGGTAGCACTGTGCTACAATCAGACCCATGATGTCAGCTATGCTGTGAAAGCCAGGTGTGTGAGAATAGGGTTGACAAAGCGCAGCCCCAGGATGGCTTGGCTGCGGGTGTCCCTCACCTTGGGCAACTTCAGCATGGCAGACAGGCCCAGGAATGGGGGTTTCACTTTATGCTTCCTTTACAAAGGATAAGGAACCCTTTGCAACATTTGTCCCCCTGGTGGGGGGTGTAGGTCACTGTTTAAACTTTGGTCAAGACAAACCAGACCTCCCAACAGCGAATCATTTTGAAAACACAACACAGCAGACTACAAGACCTCTGATTGCTTTTGTCCATTTCCTCCTCAGATCTGGGACCTGGAGACCTACTGCTGCCTGTTTACAGCCTCTTCCAAAGTCAGCGGCATTAAGGGGGAGCTGGCAGCCTGCCTCTACCTCCCCGGGCCCCGAGCCCTGTGTGTGGCCACTGATGCTGCTGCGCTCCTGTACCTGAGGCAGAGGTATGAGGGTGTCCTCCTGGCTTTGACAGGGCAGCACTCTAGAGTGCTCTGCAGAGCCCAGGCAGCTGTTCTCAACCTTCTACTTATGGTTCTGCAGCTTAGATCTCTGTGCAGGCTCCCCAGGTGCAGCCCTGTGCCCCTAGCTTGCAGTGTGCATTTGGAGAGCTCTCTGACATTTTCCATCCATCACTCCAGTGCCATCTTCCTGTCATATTGAACGTTATACTCTGCCTCTTAAGCCTGTTCCACCCGCCAGCTCTACTTCCATTGTCCACTAATTTCCTTTATAGCAGCTGCCTATGCAGTCCAAAAACATCAGCCTGACTGGTAGAGAGAGAGCCCTGGAGGTTCAGCTGACCAGTCCCAGTGCCTGGACAGTATCCCACATCTGAGACCCCCATCTCTAAAGCAGGACAGTCATGCAGGGAGAGTGCACACCCATAGGGTGAGAGAGTCTTTATGGAGGGTCCCCGAGGGAGCTTCTGCCAGTGTTCAGGAGCTCCAATGTCTTGAGAACCAGGTCTCCTTGATTCCTTAGCAAATGAGTCCCCTTTGGTTTCCCTGGCACACCTTTGCCAGGCTAATTAAAATCGCCTCTTCAGCAGGGAAAATGGGTGCCTGCTTGCCTTCCTTTCACACCCGGAGAGTCCCTGAGGTGCACTTCCTTTAGTACTGACAGTCGGTTCCTTGGCTCCCACTGCCTGCCTCTGTCTTTGTCCTGCCTGGGCTGAGACAACTGGTCTTACTGAGAGTTTTAAGCTCTTCCTCCCAAGGACCCAGCAGTCATCCAGTCCAACCATAAAGTTTTATGGCTGAGCACAAAGAGACTAAGAGAAGAGGACACATTGCCCTAGGGCACACAGATTCACCAGCAGATCTGGGGCCAGTCCTGTCTCAGTGTCCAGTCCACTACCTTCTCCCTGAACCATGCTATTTCCTAGAAGGCAAAGCTCTCTGAGATTTCAAAGAGGAAGAGGAGCCTTATGTTCCAAAAAAAAAATTTTTTTTTAATTAGACAAATAGGAAGCATATTGACTAGACTCTGTTCTTCAGTGCTTGAAAAGAGGGCTTCTTTCAGGTGGTCAGTCCTAAGAGGCCCAATGGCCATGGGGTAAGCTATGTCCCTTCTCTCAGGCTGTGTAGAGGAGAAGCTCTGCCCTGTCTACCAGTAGGGATGACAGGGTGTACCCTCCGTGCTTTGAGACCCAGAAGGCCCCTGACATCTAAAATCATACACATCATTATAGCCTGCTCCTAGTTCACATATGGCCCACCCGTGCCCCATTTTCTCCCTTGCTGCACTGACAAAAACACATTCCTCACTCCCTACCAGTGGTCTTCTCCCCCCATCGCTCAGCAATACCATAACTCCAAAGGCAATCTGTGTGATCAAAGAAAAGGATGCAGGGAGGTGTTTTGAGTGAATATTGCAGTTTGTATATTTCAAGTCCTATCTATATGTTAATGGCGACTGGATTTCCTGAGCCAAAAATCATTAAGGTAAGGCCTCAAGAATTTTTTTTTTTCCTGAACACTGGTATAGGAAGTCTCAAATACATATACTGCACTCATTTTATTGGGTACAGTATATATGCCAAGAATTAACTTAATGGAAAAGTGATCAAATTTCACAGCATCAGAACCACGTGGAGAAGCCCCGATTGAGTGGCTCCACTTGTGCCTGTCCACCCCTTCCTGATTTGCCCATCAATGCCGTGAAGCAGGCTTGCATGGCTCAGGAGAGCCCTGCAGATCACCTGCTAAACCATTGGCACAGTCAGACTCGGGAGCAGGGGTCCTCACTCAAGATGCCAAAACAGCCAGCTGAAAAATCGGAAGCTCCAGTCAATCAAACTGCTGTTTGTTCTACATGATAGCATTGTGTAAAACAAACAGCCTGTGTGATTGATTTTTTGGAGCGAAGTGACTGAAATTCCACTTCATGGCAAACACAGCCTCAATCTCTAGTGCCAACACTTAGGTGCCAGATAATGTCCTCCTTGTCCCTGTGCTGTCACTCAGGAGCTGTGTGACCTGGATCAAGTTACTCAGCATGTATCTGGAAGTGGAGGCCCCAGTCCTTCTGCCCAGCATTGGGAAAAAGAAATGAGGTGAATAAGAGGGATGCTGGCTACAATGCATTCTCTCTTTGGCCCTGGGCCTCCATGGGCCCTCCCTCCTCCTCTCATAAGGAATGATTCTACCTTTGCTTACTGAAGCCCAGGGACCATTCATAGGAAAGTTCTAGACATCCTTATGCCAAGTCCTACTCTTCCTGAAGACAATTCTGCCCATGCCAAGAACCAGGTACGAGGCTTCAGATTCACTGGAGGTTCAGCTTTTTCATTAGTGGGTTAATCTTGGGGTTAAGCAGTGGAGGGGACAGTAAAGAAAGAGGGCACTGGTGGTGCTCAGAACCAGTGTTCTTTTGTTAAGTGTCCACTGCATGGCAAGTGTATGCAGACATTTTATATCCTTTTTCTTGCTTACTCCTCATGGAATTTGCATTAAGGATTCTGGTATTCCGTTTTGTGGATAAATAAATTAGAGGGGTGGGTTGCTGAACCCCACAAGCTGTCCATTATATGCTGACTTTCTCTGGGTGGGGGATCTCACAGTGCAGGGACCCAGGTGCTCAGATGTGCTTTATACACCTAGGTACCCACTACAAGGTTTACCACAAGCTGGCCTGGTCTGTCTCTGCTGTGAGCGAAGGGGGCTGTTTTTCAAGATTCTGAATGGGCTGATTTGTTCACATTTGTGTAGGAAGAGATCTAAATTAATAGTGAAGATGATTCATTCTGGGCCTCACAATATCACATTCTGCTCTAAAGAGGAGTCGTGTGCTCTTAGTTTTCATGTTCAGCAGCTGCTGTAGCTTGTCGCATGTCAATTACATATGTGAGGTTTTGTGCTAATGCCATTACACATGGTTTCTCATTTAATGCTCTAGAAAACCCTTTAAGGTAGGTATCATTATCACCATTTACAGATGAGAAAGTTGGAGTTATGAGCAGTTGGCTGACTCGCTCAAGGTTGCAAACCCAACCCCATCATTTGAACCCGAACCTATTCTCCTACCCATTCTTTAATAAGGCAGTGGATGCCTCTTCTTTGGGATCTCAGTCATGCAGCCTACTCATATTTCCAACATTTCTGTTTTTCATGAGCAAGATCTATCCCGGAGCTTCACCTGGCACTTTCCCACCGGGAACCCGTGGTGTGCTGCAGGTACAACCCAACCTTCAGACAGGTGGTCAGCTGCTCAGAGGCGGCTGTAAGTATCGAATCCTGCCCCCTCAGCAATGATGTATTCGACGGTGTGGGCCTGGCTTTTCTGTTCTCACTTCATAGCTGAGCAGCTTGTTCTGGGGATGTTCTGTTCTTGGAAGTAAACTACAGGAGGATTGATTCTACTTTACTAATGACTGGGTATTGTTTGCACATTCTTCTACGAATGTCGAAAGTCGTAAGAAAGAGCTTACAGTTCCTCCACGAAGCGTGAGCTAATTGAAAGGACCATCCTAGTGGTATTATCTCCTTGTAATTCCCTTGCGTGATGTAAGGTGATTTCTACCACCCTAATACACTTTATCTCAAATCCTGCTTTGAGGGGACAGATCATTTCATGCCCATGTGCTCTCACACAAGGGCTCACAGCTGTCTGCATTTGATGAGTGGCACAGCGTAGGCCCACAGAGGATGAGGGACACAATTGGTGCTCAAAGAATAAGAAAAACACTCATACTGGATGATTAATGCTCTCCCGCCCTTGCCCTAATAAGAGAACACACCTAGTACATTCGTAATGTTTTAATATCCTGAAATCTCTTAATGCCAGTTTGGTCATTTTTTGAATCACTGGCAGAGGCTCAGGTATTACAAGCCAGTGGCCCAAGGGCATGTGGCCGCGCCCTTTCCTCCTTTCTTCCAAAGCCCGGTGCACCCAGTCTTTGGGGTTTATGGCCTCGGGTGCATCCTCAGGCAGGCCCCTGCGTGTCTGTGTATCTACACTCATTCCAGTTTTACTCCAATCTCACAGTGAGACTCCATTGTCTTCTCGTCCATTCTTGCTCCGTTTCTTCTCCAGAGATCAGTGGTTTTATTAAGGGAAAAAAAAAAAAGATTACCGGGACTGTTGGTCAACAATTTTTCCATGACTCGGTCTTAATACATATCAAATAAGGTGAATTCTTGTGTATTTTGTGTACTGCTCTTGGGGACTGTTTATCTTCCATATTCATCAGAATCTCCTGTGACTACAATGAAGCTAACCTTTGTACCTTCTTCACATCAGGTTTTTTCCTGCCCTGTGGCTCTGTGCAACCTTTTCCCATCTCCACCCCAAAACCATCCTACCTCCTCCCCTTTTCCACTTGTTAAACTAAACGATTTTGGCCTAAAATGGCCACTGTACTCCCACACTTGGATTCCTATGGATAAGCCAAAATCATACATTGTAGGCTGTTTTCTGAGGTGGTTGCTAAATTGCAGTCAATCACACTAGCCATACTTCAGTAGATCGCAGAAAGCGTAACTTTTAAGCTGTTCATGCAGCCTATTATCCAGCTATAACCAATCCAATTATTTCTTTACCTCATTCCTTCATTTTCATTTTTGTATGTCACTTTCTCTTTCCTGCACAAATCACTTTCCCTTTCCCTGAACTTGTATACCCCATGACCACTTGGCTGCCCAGAGTTCCTCAGAAACCATTTTCTCGGAAACTGCCCAATTCCAATCTCCTGCCCTTTGTTCAAATAAACTTTGGTTAATTTTGGTTTGTCTAAAATTTTGTTTTTTAACGAGCCCTTCAAAGTCTAACTCAATGAAACTCTTCTTTTGTACTTCCCGCCTTTCCTGATCTCACACATTTCATACCTCATATTGTGGTGGTGTATTGTTTCATGTGAGTATGTGAGTGAACCTCACCTCTCAGCAGGCACTTAAGGCCTTGCTTTCTCACAACATGCATTTTTTAACGAGCCCTTCAAAGTCTAACTCAAAAAAATTCTTCTTTTGTACTTCTTACTCACAGAGACTTCCCGCCTTTCCTGATCTCACACATTTCATACCTCATATTGTGGTGGTGTATTGTTTCATGTGAGTATGTGAGTGAACCTCACCTCTCAGCAGGCACTTAAGGCCTTGCTTTCTCACAACATGCACGCGCGTGAGCACACACACACACACCCTAGCAGAATGAATAGTTCCATTAACACTGAGGCTTCTAATTCTACAGCGGTTCTTTGATGAGTTCATTTAAAATTCAAGTTATGAAAAAAGCTATGCATGGACTTAAAAAAAATTGCACCACAAATAAAATTGTACTATTTTTCCATGAAATTTTTCCATGACACAGTAACACAGTCTCTGTCCTTTAATAACACTATTTTTGATAAGCATATCCTCCTACCTAGATAGGGTAGGAGGTAAGAAGATGTTGAACTGAAATATAAATATTCCTATAGCTGTGACTATAGCACATACATACTGCTAATAAATTCTCCAATACTGATTGAATTAAATTATTGATCTGAGTATTTGTACACCTTGCAGATATGTTGCTGTGTGAATGTTTGTAACATCATTATGCCCTTTGTCACAATCCATAGCATCTAAACCGTATTGCACTTGAAATTTGTGGCGGAAAGAATATAGCCCAGGATCTTTATGAAGCCTGGATCCTATACAGCATGTTGTCTATTTGGACACATAAGCAGAGTGCTAAGGGCCATAAACTTTCAGTGCCTCTGACATTGTTTGAAAACTGCACAGCAAAATCAATAGATGTTCAATGAAATACTCACAACACATTACATATCAACTGCAACTTAACTTATAATTACATGTAGTATGCAAGTTTATTTGATAAGAATAACACAAATTCTTATCAACAGTTTAAAACTATAAATATTGTTAAATTATTTTAAAATTTAATAACAAAAACTTATTTAATTTGGGATATGGTTGCATTTTAACATATTTAATTAAATGGAGTCTCCTAAAGAAAAAACAGCTTGGGCCTAAGGAGTTCTTTTTTATTTTTTTTTCTTTTTCTTTTTTAAGCTATTTTTGTTATAGGGTGCATGTGCTCACAGGTGAGACAGAGACAGACAGAGAGACAGAAAACGAGAAATCAACCCGCAGGAGGATGACCATGCTCCAATTCCTTCTCTTCCAGTCTCCTCTTGGGATTTCAAGCACATATGCACATGCACCCAGTGTGAGTTTCATAGGGTCCAGGACTTGAACCATGGTTAGCAATTAAGCCATCTGCTGGTGCTGTGCCCAAAATCCTGAGAGGAGGATGGAGAAAGGATTGCAGCATGGCCATCCCTTCTGAGGTGTTATTTCTCATTTTCCCTCTCTCTCTCTTTTTCTCTGGCAAGCATATATGCCCTATAGCAAAACTAAAAAAGAAAAAGAAGAACAAGAGAAATAAAAAGAAGGAAAGGCAGTTAAGAGGGAGAATGCTTCCCTTGGGTGTATACCCTGGGCGCTGTGCCCAAACCATGCCCTCTCTAACTCATTCTTCTATACCAGCCAGTAGGTGCTTATTGGTCAAATCTGGTTCTCAACCATGTTACAAATCATTACATGTGTGGAACTCTGAGTTCTCTGCTAATGGTTGAAACCACTGAAGTGCATCCCTGTAACACTAATGGTCTATTACAATATTATGGAGACTGGATTAATGTACCTGCACGACCAGCTTCCCTAGGAACCCTGGTATTGAAACAGAAGAAAAGAAGCAAAGCGTGCACCACTGAGAATCTATTCTCAGGGGTTTAAAATCAACAACAGTGAAAGGATGCCTGAGGGGTTCTGGTTTGGACATCCAGAGCTTTCTCAATCAGTGAAGTGGCCACAAAGTGGCAGATCAGAAGGAACATTAAAAAAATCCTGTGTAAGAAATCTGTCCTTGCGTAAACTCTCTTCCTCATTGTCACTGTCCTTAAGAGACTCGGGGTCAGAAAACTTTGGGTGCAAGGCTCTTTGGGTGTCTAGAGGAAGCTCTTGCACATATGGGCACTTAGTTAGGATAGATGCCACACAACTCTCTTAAAGAGGGTTTTGCATTCAGAGGTTGCTGGAGGAATGGAGTAAGAAAAAGTCACTGCAGGGCTGGAACTAGTTGAACTGAGTGACCTTGTAAGGCTGAGGGTTTGGAAGACAAATTGTTGCCCAAATCAGGTCACCTTTCTCATTCAGCTTTGCCTTGACAGTAAATAAATTTTACCTGTCAAATTCAACCTGCACCTATTTTCTCTGAGCCTAAATGGTCAGATTTGTGCCCCATGATTAAATCTTCTGATTTTCTCATGTGATAGACTAAATTGCACCTTCCCCCACAGATTTATATACTGAAGCTCTAACCCCACTGCCTCAAAATAAGGCTATTTGTAGATATGGCCTTTAAAGAAGTTATTATGTTAAAATAAGGCCTTTAGGGTGGGTCCTAATCCAACCTAATTGATGTCCTTAAAAGACAATATCAGGGACCAGCAAAATGGCATCATGGTCACATCACTGGACTCACACATGGCCAACCACAGTTCGAGTTCTGGACTAGGAGGTTTAAAACTCATGCCAGGCACATGTGTGTGTATGCCCAAAGTCCCAACAGGAGAATGAAGGAGAAGGGATTGTGATGTGGCCATCCCCCCTGGGGAGTGATTTCTCACTTTCTATCTCTCTGTCTCTCTGGCAAGTGCATGTGCCTTATAGCAAAAATCTGTCTCCAAAAAAAAAAAAAAAAAAAGACAAGATCAGGACCAAAACTGAGACCAGATAATGTGTGTACAAAGAAAAGATCAAAGAAAAACACAGCAAGAAGATGGCTGTTTACAAGCTGAAGAGAAAGAGGCCTCAGCAGAAGCCAGATTTTGCCAGAATCTTGATCTGGACTTCCAGTCGTCAGGCTGTGAGATAATGACTTTCTGATGTTTAAGCCACTCAGTCTATGCCATTTTGTTCTGGCAGCTCTAGCAAAGAAATACACTCAGGTAATCTAACTTGTACTAGAAGTACAGGTTCTTTCAGGATAAGTATTTATCTTTAATACCTCCCACACTAGACTAAATGCAAATTCCCTTTAACTTGATAGCCATTATCTCTAGGTCACTTTTTCTCTTCTTCTTGATACAGATGGTGAAAATATGGGACTTTGAAACAGGAAAACAGTTGTCTGAATTTATGGGGGCCCATGGCAATGCTGGGATCACCTGTCTGACCTTTGACTCCAGTGGAAGAAGGTACACCTTTTTTTCCATCACCTCTCTGTGGGACAGCCTCGTCATGCTATTCCAATGAGATGCTCTGTTTCCTAGGCTAGTTACTGGGGGTAGAGATGGCTGTCTGAAAATATGGAGCTACAACAATGGACACTGTCTGCACACCCTGAAACGAGGCAAGTCACTTCCTGTTGAGCATTCTCCACTAAATAGTGATGCTAGGCATTTGTAGTGAAAGTAAAAGAACTCAAATGAGATGGAACCAGAAATGCATGCAACAGCCCTACTTTCTTTTTCTCTGGAATTTCCCTTAATGACACTAATCTTGCATTTAGTAGGAATGCACTTACATAAATGCACGTGCTCCTAGGTGTGCCTCATGCACTTGTTCCTTCAGTACGTGGTATATCCTGCATTCTTGTTCTTTCTTTCTTTTTATTTATTTTTTGGTAGAGATTTTTGCTATAGGGCACATACGCTTGCCAGAAAGACAGAAAAAGTCAGAAATCGCCTCCTGGGAAGATGGCCATGCCACAATCCCTTCTCCATTCTCCTCACAGTATTTTGAGCACATGCACACACACACACTCAGCATGAATTTCAAGCCACCAGGTCCAGGACTTGAATTGCAATCAGCTATGTGGGGTGGGAATCTAGTGCCTCAACCACCTGCTGGCCCAACCATGCCACCTGCTGGCCCCTACACATCTGCTTTCTTAAAAGATTATATATATATATATATATATTGTTTTTGCCATAGGGCACGTGTGCTTGCCAGGGAGAGACATAGATAGATGGAGGAGAAAGTACCACCCACACGGGGCTCAGTCATACTGCAGTTCCTTCTCCTTCCTCTAACCCACTGAGACTTGGGTGATGCACACATACACAACAGAAGGGTCTTTCAAGCTCCTGGAGCTGGAATTCAAACCACTAGCTCCCTTAAGCACTAAGCCATGGGGAAAGTAAAAGAGTTTAACTTTTCTAAACATTTTAAACATCACAAAAGTCAAAAAAATGTGGAGAATAGCAAACTAAAAGAGGGTCTCTTTTCTTGTTATTGTGATTTTTTTTTCTCTCCAAAGACTACTCACTGCATTCATTTATTTGTTGTGCCTATTCTTGGTAAAATTTTCCAAATTCTGTCCTGTAAATCTCCTACAGGAAAGGAAAGATGCAAACATTGTTCAACTATCAGAGGAGAATAAATGAAGCAAAAATAAAATTACTCACAGTCATGAAACTAAAGTCATGAGCTTGTGCCTTCTAGTTCTGCCTTTGGCTTATATGCATTCATTTGTTTGCCCATCCATTCAATAAATGCCATGTACTATCAGGATCATATCAGGAGAAGCTGCACCTGTTCTCATAGCTGAGCGAGGAGAGCACCCACAGTTGAGGACAATGAGGATGGCAGTAAATTGACAGTGCTCTAATGACTTGAAAACATACAAATGTGGTCTGAAAACTAGAGAGTAAGTACTAAAGTTACCCCAATCATCAGTTAGGTGAGGTCGACATACACAAGCTGACTCAAGAATTAACAAATAAAGTGTTTAATATTAAAATGATAATGTTGTTATCTTTATAGATGGCAAACAAAATGAAGTCTGTGATTGTACCTACATGGAGGTGAACCAGAATAAGTGAGTTATACTCAGCTTGGGGTTGTATTTAGTTGGTCGTCTTTTTTTTGGTACAAAGTTTGCCCTGAGGAAGACATTAAAACAGTGAAAGGAATTTTCCATACCCATAAGAAAAATATGTCAAAGTATCGCTGAGGACCTCTGTTGCTCTCAGGTAGTAATTTAGGCAACGATGTTCTTCAAGAACAGTAGAAGCAATTAGCTGCACATTTAAACAACTATTTAGAAATAGAGATAGAAAGACTTTATCTCCCCACCACCAAATGCTTTACGAAGGAATGAATCAGAGATGAAGTAATTAAATTCAGCCACCATAAGTCAAAGAACAGCTACAATAAAAAAGAAAATAATAAATTCCCTCCTGAACATCAAAAGAGTCAAAGTAAGACTTGGTCAGTTTCTGTTTATGCCCTTGCCTGAGGATCAGCTAATCCCCGGGAAGGCAGCTACTCCTGGGGGAGCATCTGTAGACCTCAGAAATTACGAGATGTCCTGTTTCTGCTCCTAATCCTTTAACACCAGTCAAACACTGATCCTAATTTATCAGATGACATTTTATCTTATTCTTCATTGAAAATAGAAGAGATTACGTTCTTGCTTTTTTTCACTTTTCTCATAGATCTCGCAAAGTTAAACCATAGGCTCCATGTAAAAATTAAACAGATAAAAAGCTTAACTTATCAAAATGTAAAATCTTGTTATTGTTCTAGGTGTATTATAGCTGTTGGATGGGACAGAAGAATAAATGTATATTTTGTAAGTGAAACATACAAAATGGTGATATTTTAAAACCCTCTTTAGATTTATAGACTTCTTTCTCTCTCTCTCTCTCTTTCTCTCTCTCTCTCTCTCTCTCTTTCCCCATTGGTTCTTTTCCTCTTAAAATAGTTTTTTTTTTTTAATTGTATGCCTTTGCTATCTACCTGTGACATTTCCCCTGTTTGCTATGCTGTGTGGTCATGATTTCTAAATGTTTTTAAATATTGTAAGTGCTTTATTCTTTTGGAAGTACACTGTATTTCACAGCTTGAGCTTCACATCCTTGGAATGATTTGATAGATGACTACCTGAGAAGTCTTGGTGTTGAATTTGTCCTTTGGTATTACAGGTTTCTGAGCTGAGAGCTTTGGGTTTGGTGCATGCAGCAGTTACGAATCTTATTATGAAGGCAAAGCTATGCAGACCATCTGAGGAGAGCTTGTCAGTTGACATATGATTTGCTGAAATGCAATCACCCAAACGTCAGGAGTGGATTGCTTTTTATTCCCACTGGCACTAGGGGAATTTGCTTTGACATTTCAAAAATCTGCATCACTGGTGGGGTGAGGGGTAGGGTTATAGAATGCCAGCACCTTCTTTCTGACGCTACGGGTTTGTTGGCAGCTCATTCTATTGCTTATACAATGTCTTCTCTTTGGTTTTGGATATAGGACACACCACGTGACTTTCATCACTTCTGGAAGCCACAGCCACCCTGGCAGGATGACGTGGTGAGCTCTGGCCCACTGTCTGTCTCTCAACCCACACCATGGGACATGATGAGGATTCCCTTTACTTCAGGCCACAGCCTCGCAGAGTTCCTGCTGTGGTAGGATTCATGATTGGGGTTCAGATAGAGACAGGAGCACTGAGAGCCCTGCGTTCAGGGTGAGCCATGAGGTCAGAAGAGCAGCTCAGGACACAGCAGGTGTGACTTTTCTTCAGGAGGTGTATACTTCCTGCTTATGCCTGGTGAACCAAACTGTATGTATTCCCTATGGCATCCTCAGGCACCCAGAGAGCCTGGGAGATGACATTTCTGCTGCTCCATGGCTTGCATTGTCTGGGGACTGCTTGAGATTATCATTATCATTCAGAATGTCCCAACTTTCTACAGCTCCCTAGAACCAACTGCCTCCTTCATAATTGTCTGGGTGCCAAGCCAATAAATAAGCATCAAAAAAGCAAGGTCACAGTGCCCAACTATCTGTCATCACCCTACTGACCTCATGTCCCATAAACATTCCAGAAGGTACAAGTCACAAGAATAAAAAGTTCATGAAGACAGGCCTCATTTGTCTTTTTGCCATGGTATTTCCAGGGCCTAACCCAGTGCCTGGTTTATAGTAGTACAAGAAATATGTTTTTATTCAACCTGTATATGTTAAATACTCACTGTGGAGCAAGTTTGTGTTTTGCACCAAAGATGTAGCAATGAACAAAGCCAGGAATGACCCCAGGAGCTTAGAATTTAATGAATGTTGAGTGAAAGAGTAAAGTTATGCAGAAAATTACCCAAGGAAGCCACAGTTCTTGCCAGGACAGGAGTCATCATGAATTGGTGAAGTATGGGTTTCAATTCAATTCAATTTTTCATTCACTCAGTACACTTATTGGGCACTTACCTAGTGCCATGCTTAATGGATAGGCACAGAAGATACAAAGATGAATAAAATGTGTTGCCTGGCCTCAAGAATATCACAGACTGGTGAGGAAATTAATAACTGAGAAAAAATAATCATACAATATAAGAGATGATGTAAGAATGTATAAAATGCTGGAGAAGCATGGAAATGGGAAGCACTAATTTGTATCTAACATCATGTGAGATATCAAATGATTACTGGGAATTTTCCAGGAGGACAAGTTAAGACTATGGAAAGTTTGAGAGGCTGGAGCATCAGATCCAAGAAGGAAATGAGGCCAGGAAGTAAAATAAGAGTTTAAACCCATACTAAGGTATTATCTTAGTTTTTTCAGCCTACCTTAACAAACTACCATATCTAGGTGGCTTAAGCAACAGAAATGTATTTCTCACAGTTCTGGAGGCTGGAAGTTCAAGGTCAGGGTACCATCTTGGTTGAGTTCTGGAAAGTGCTTTTTTCCTAGCTTACAAGTGGTCACCTTCTTGCTATGTCCTCACATGGTTGAGCTAGAACAATGTCTTTCCTTATAAGGACACTAATGCCACCATCAGGGCCCCACTCTCATGACCTCATCTAAACCTAACACCTCCCAAAGACCCTATGTCCAAACATTGTTACATTAGTGGTCAGGGCTTCAACACATATATTTCAAGTGACACAAACATTCAGTCCATAGCAAGTATGTAAACTTCATTTTGTAGTCAGGGAGGTCCATTGAAGGAGGAAACCAGGCATGAGTTGGTGGGAATATAACTTGGTCCAGCCACTGTGGAGAACAATATGGAGGTTCCTCAAAGACCTTCAAATAGAACTACCATATGATCCAGCAATTCCACTCCTGGTTATCTACCCAAAAGACAGGAGAGCACTCAGTTGGAAAGCACTTGCACAGCTATATTCATTGCAGCCTTATTCACGATTGCTAAGACGGAACCAACCCAAATGTCCACACATAGATGAATAGATTGAAAAATTGTGGCACATATACTCCATGGAATACTATTCAGCCATAAAAAACAAGGCCCTAAAATTTGATAGAAAGTAAACAAATATGGAAGATTTGTTGCTGAGTGAAGCAAGTCAGGCTATGAAAGAGAGACATTGTATGTCTTCACTTAACATATACCCACTGTCCGTACTCTATGGTAGAGACTGAAAGACTGGAGAACATAAAAGTATTAAAAATTGTAATGGACACTAGAGACAAAGTGGAAAGAGAGTGTGGGAGGAGAAGAGTGTAGGAAATTTGGGGGGAAATGGAGAGGTAAGACACTTGTGGGACACAGATAAGTTTTATTATCTGTTGATGAGGATGTGTATTGTGGTCTCAACTGGGCTGGACTGAGGTGTATATCATGCTGGGTAAAGTCTCTTCACAATCTAAATGTTGTATAGTGATTTAATGTATGAATAATAATAAAAGAAGCTAATAGTTTATTGCACATTCAACTTTCATGTGCTTTGCTCTTTATCCAAAGGAATAAATGTAAATATTTGTTAAACCAAAAAAAAAATATTTAAAAATTGTAGAGGGTGGGCCAACAGGTGCCATCATTGTTAAGCCATTGGACTCCCACATGGCCAACTATAGTTTAAGTCCCCTACTTGGTGGCTTGAAACTTTTGCTGGGTGCATTTGCATGCATGCCCAAGAGAAAAATGGAGAAGAAGGGATTGCAATGTGGCCATCCCTCCTGGGAGTTATTTCTCGCTTTCTTTCTCTGTTTCTCCAGTGAACTCATGTGCCCTATAGCAAAAATCTCTCTCTTTAAAATTATTTAAAAAGAAAGAAAGAAATTGTATAGGAGTGTTTGGGGAGGGAGATCTAGCAGCATAGAACTGTGGGAAAGAGATGGTCATAGACTTCCTCTTTCCCAACAGTATCACAATGGCACCTTCCCAACTGAGTGTGAACAGAAAGGGCCTATTAGCTGATGATGGCTTAAGTCCTCAAGAGACATTCTGTGGCAAGTATATGTGAAAAAGGGAGAAAGATTATCTGTATAGGAGCAAGAGAAACCAATTTTCTTCACAGAATAACTGCCATCAGTGAGAAAGGTGGACAGATAATGCCCAGGGACTATAAACTCTGTACCCCTGGTCTTCAAAACTCTACTATGGTTTCCTATTTCTGAGGGTGTACTTCCAAAACTCCTCCTTTCAAAGTGAGCAGATGATTTCAATACTTAACAGCACATGTAGCCATAGTAGGGAGCAGGTGGGAGCCCTATATGGGTTGTACCAAGATACACCTTACTCTGGAATTTAAACCTTGGGTTGTTGAGAGAACAAACAACCTTGGCCAGTGTTTGGGTTACTGTTGTCCCATTTCAACATTCCTGCCCCAGTGAGGGCACTTTGTCAATTATCTGCTTGGCAGCAGTATGGTAAGTTAAATCTGCTGGAAGTAGCACTTCTCTAGGTAAGGTAAGGCCTTTGAAGGTGATTCAACAGACCCAGGGAGATGCAACACCTCTGACTGACCTGCAGACAGACTTGGAGGGAGAGAGGTTCCAGGTGAACCCTGGATGTGGGCAACCACAGAAGGAGGAACTCTCTATACCCTCTGTCTTAGGAATTAAATGGGAGATTTTGGATTAGATTTCCTTTATTATTTATTCTTTATTATTATTATTATTAAGAGACAGAGTCTCACTATGTCACAATTCTCCTGCCTCAACCTTCCTCATAGTTGGGACTACAGGTGTATACTACTGTGGTTGGGATAGGAATTTTATATCTTAACTCTGTCCTACTCTCTCTTTCTCAGAACCATGGGCACAAGGAGGACATTCTCTGTGTGGCTCAATGCCCACCTTTTCTTCTTGCCACCTCCAGTTACGATGGGGAGATTATAATTTGGAATGTCATCTCAGGCCACATATACTGCAAGCTCAACACTCCCAGCCCCACTGATGGCACAGAACACAGAGAAGGTGGGTGAGGGGCAGTGGCCCTCTTTACGGCCACTCTGCACAGACCCTGCTGGCTTCAACTCCTGGCAAGTTGTTGAAGGAGCCTCAGCTGGCTTCAACTCCTGGCAAGTTGTTGAAGGAGTTAGATCTGGACTCCTTCCCAGTTAGAAGGGATTGGCCTGCTTTCATGTTTGGCTGCCAGATGGAGATTCCCAAAGCTGGAAGGGAGTGTAAGAGCTCAGCTAGTTAGCCCACAGCCCAGGTACCTCTTCATCAAAGCCCATCTCAGAGCCCAGCACAGCATCTCTAGAGCCCTTTCTTCAGCCATGGCCAGACTGAGATCCTCTGACCCTGCTGAGCCCTTGGGCTTGTTGGCATAGTTCCTGCCTTTACTCCTCTGCTTTCAGTTGCTACTCTATGTGATTCATCCAGTCAGCTAGCCAGCCTGCTCCCTCAGCCCAGTTCAGATTCTTCTCCTTAAGGGTTTTTCCAACTATGCATCCTCAGACTTAGTGCATCCTCACCCTCTGCCTTCCCTTGTGGCTCATAACCCCACTTGGGTCTATCCTTACTGCTTGCATATCGTACTGCAAAATGTTTTCCTACTCTCCTACCTTACTCTTAATTTTTCTGCCCTGGTTCCATTTCTTCAAGGCTCACTCCCTCTCTCTTTTTCTTGCTCTCTACTAACGTGAACATGGTCTCATTCATTCATTCAGAAAATACTGATGAGTACCTGCTACATGCCAGGAATTATACTGAGTGTTAGGGCTGATAATCACATCCCTCTCCTTCCAAGTCCTAAACCATTTGATAAATACACATAGGAGAAAAATGAAGGCGCCAAATATCTGCCAGTTGCATTGTTGGTGATGCTGGATTGGAAAACTGACTGGAGCCCACTGCCAAGAAGGCTTCCTCCCTACTGCTTCTCCCCTACCTCCAGTCTAGGCGATTCTTTCCCAAACAGCAGTCCACAGACACTAGTCTGCTATGGAGTCCCAATAGGAAGTTGGGCATTTTTTCACAAAATTAGGGAGTGTTTGTATCTCCTGAGACCCAACCAACACTCCTGATTACATCCCCTGATTTAGGCATTTGATAATTCACAAGCCAGGGAAGAGTTGTAATGACTCATTCCATTAAAAATATCTTTGAGCTGCTCCCCTGGGTTTAACCTATGAGAGGCAAAAAGAGGAGAGGAGAGAGATATGCCTGGTGTTACCCTTAAGGGTCTCACAGCTAGATTCACAGACAAAATGTGCATGCTCAACAGCTAAAATCATGATAAAGCAATGCCATCAGCCCTCCTGCTACTTGACACCCTGGAGAACAGTGATTAGAAACCAAAACCGCTAGGGACCAGCAGTTAGCATAATGGCTATGCCGCTGGACTCCCATGTAGTCAACCGTGGTTCGCATCCTAGACCCCGTGGCTTAACACTAACGCCGGGCGTGTGTGCATGCATGTCCAAGATCCAGAGAGGAGAATGGAGGAGAAGGGATTGCGGTGTGGCCATTCCCCCTGGGGGGTGATTTCTCACTTTCTATCTCTCTGTCTCTCTCTGTCTGTCTAGCAAACGCACGCGCCCTATAGCAAAAACCTCTCCCAAAAAACCTCTCCAAAAAAATAAAAGAAACCAAAACCACTAGACATTAAGAGATTAAATGGATATTCTTACTTGTAGATTTATCATCGAGTCTCTTCCTATCCTTTACTACATATAAAAAAGATTATTCTATGAAGCTCTTTTTGAGAGTGTCTAAGAGTTTTAAAATCTTTGGAATAAAAGTGGTGGCATTTTCTTCAAAAGGTTTATTTTTATTGCCATTAGCATGAAAATAAAGTCACAGGCCAAGAATGCAATCTTGACCTTTCAGCTAGCAGTTCTAATTTAAAACCCTTTTTGCAGCAGCATCTCTTGCTCAGAGTAATGTGACTGGTGGTTTTGTGAAAACCCTCTTCTACTCCAAAAATGTAAAACCACTCACAGCCACTAATAACTCACACTTGTACAGTGCAAAAATTGCAAGAATGAAATGGAATATGTGAAAGCTCTCCATCTTTCCAGGGAAAAGTAGTCCCAGCTCTTCTGGAATGTCAAATTAGAACACTTTGGTCTTTTTCACATGGGATTGGTTAAGAGGTCTCCATCTTACTTGGAAAACTATCTGCATGATTCTTTTCTCAGGAGAGAAGGGATCTGAGAAAGACAACTATGAGGAAAGCCAGATGAGTTGAAAGCATATTCTTTCTGCTGCCCTTTTAGTATCTCGGCTTTATTCTTCCTTTCATTGAAATTCTCCTACATCAAAGAGAATGAATTTGAGAGTGAAAGAGAGATCAAAACATTTCATTCACCTTAAAATCCAGGAAATCTGTGAGTTCACTGGGAGATGACATTTTATCTAAGAAAGCAGTACTTCAAAAAGTTCATGAAAAATGATATTATGAAAGAAGTGCATTATGGATTTCAAATATTTTTCCACCAAAATAAACTGATACTTTAATTCCATTTTTCCATAAACTTTTTGAAGTACATTCAGACAACAATATTTGTTGAGTACCTCTTATATGTCAGTCATTTTTTTGGGCAATTTTACTGCTGTTTAGTGCTATTTTAGTGCTGGGTGCTCCTTTAGTGTCCACATTACCCTGAGCCAGAGGTGCTATTACACTTGTTTTCCAAAGTGAGGAAACTGAGGCTAGATAGTTAAGAAACAATCATTTTGGGGTCAGCAGGTGGTGTGGTGGTTGAAGTGTTAGACTTCCACATGACTGACCATGCTTCAAGTCCCAGACTGGCGGCTTGCTTTTTTTCTTTTTTTTTTAGACATTTTTTTGCTACGAGGCACATGCGCTCGCCCGAAAGACAGAGAGAGACAGAGAGACAGAAAGTGAGAAATCACACCCCAGGGGGGATGACCATGCCGCAATCCTTTCTCCTCTCGGGATCTTGGGCACGCACGCACACGCACCCGGCGTGAGTTTAAGCCACCTGGTCCAGGACTCAACCCGAGGTCAACTACATGGGAGTCCAGCGACATAGCCATTACGCTAACTGCTGGTCCCGCGGCTTGCTTTTTCACTTTCTCTCTCTCTGGTAAACACACACGCCCTATGGCAAATTAAAATAATAATAATAATAATAAATTAAATTAAATAAATAATTCTTTAAAACAAAAGAAACAATCATTCTAATAGCTACCACTTGCCAAGTGTTTTTGTGCCAGACACTTTAAGGTCATTAAGTCTGTTCAGCCTTCACAGCAAGGTTACGCAGCACTGTTCACACTATGTCTCACTAAATCCACTTTAAAACCCTATGAAATAGGTAATCTCCTATAGATGAAGAAAACTGAAATCTAGAGAAGTAAAATACTTCTCCAGACCCTGCCCGGGTAAGAGAGCTGCTGGCATGCATGACTGCCTCTCTCTGCCTCTGCAGCCTTTTTCCCAGGCTGAGAGTGTGTAAGGTAAGGGCAGTTTATCATGGCTGAGCCTCATCTGTCACTTCTTCCTGCCTTGTCCCTAACATCCAATACTCCCATGAGCCCCATACCCTGAGAGTGATGGATATAGGGCTGAGCCCAATCACTAGCAGTGCACCCCAGGTATCAGGGAGAACACTGGCATCAAGCAGCAGAGCAGAAGACACACCTCCACATAGACACCCCTTCATCCTGCCTCTGAGAGGACTCAGCTCTCTAAGGATGACCACAAAGTACAATGTCAGGGGTATGGGCTTTGGAGGCAAACATCTGAATTTTGAATCTCAACCCCCTATTAGTAGTTGTATGAGGCTGGGCACCTGACAGTTCTTTCTGGGCTACATACAGTCTCTCCTCTAAAATGAGAGGACAGTACCTACTTGGGATTGTGATAATGAAATATGGGCAAGTTGAGACAGTGCATTACTCAGGGCCCAGCATATAGAAAGTGTCTATGAAATGACAATCCTGGCTGTTATGATCAGCCGTATTAGACAGGAGCTGAGTTTTCTGTGGATACCTGGCTCCCCAAGTACGCAGCAGGGTGCTGAGCTCATAAATCAGAATGACTATTGCTGAACCATTAACAACTTGAGTCACGGTGGTGAGACAAGGAAGCTCATGAAACTTCTTATATTGGGTTGTTGGAAAATTAAGATGTATTTTTCTATGCAAAAAAAATGTGTCGATGACTTTCCCGATGACCCAATATTTACCTCCAGCACCAACTCCATCATTTATTTCATTTCTGCCTTAGTCCAATCAGTTTGCTAGAACAAAATGCTATAAATTGAGTGGTTCATAAACAACAGAAATCTATTTCTCACAGTTCTGGAGGCTGGAAGTCCAAGACTAGGGTGGCATTATGGCTGAGTCTGGTGAGGGTTCCCCAGTGAGATGTAGGCTGCTGATTTCTTCTTACTTTTTGTTTTGTCTTGTTTTTAGAAAATAAGCGTTTTTAATTTCTTACATGAGAGAGACAATACCCTCAAACAGGGTTCCCATGACACAATTCACCACCAGCCTCATTCAGCTATGACCATGGGCACATGCATGCCTGTAGTGTAGAAGCAGACCTTGAGACACGAATCTAGTATCTTCCCATGTGGCTTTGGCATTGCAGACCATTGTGTTACTACTGCACCTCTGCAGGTGGCCAACTGACTTCTCTTGAATCCTCACATGGTAGAAGGAGAACAAGAGAGCTCCCTGGGGCTCACATGTGAACTCCACCTTCAAGACCTCAATACCTCCAAATGCCCCACCTCTAAATGTTAACACTTGAGGATTAGAGTGTCAACATGTAAATGGGGGGGTGAGGGAGACAAAAACATTCAAGCCATAGCAACCCCTTATATACAACACCATCCATTTCCCTTCCACTCTGGACAATGCACCCCTGGAAACTCAGGTTCCAGAAAGTTAGGATAAACAGAGTTCCCTATAGCCAAGTACTGACATTCTTTGTGGCTCACGGAGGTTTGGATCTAAGTAAGATTGTAGGAATTTTAAGCAACAGCAAATATTTGCATTCTGTGTTTTAAGTACCCTGAGGGTACTAGGGATCACCAGTAAAAAGACAGATGTGGCCTGTGGGTTGATGGCACTGAAAGTAGATGAGTGCAAGACCTGGGAAGGAGGAAAGTGGGTTTAGAAGTTATTCTAAAACACACAGCTGTGTGGTAGAGAACTGGTTTGACATCTCCCTCTCCTTGGAGTGCCCTTCTCTGCCCAGCACCCATTTCCTTTCAAGATTCCAGGTGAAGGAAGAGCAGTTAGCATAATGGCTATGTCACTGGACTCCCACGTAGTCAACCATGGTTCACGTCCCAGACCCGGTGATTTAGAACTCACGCTGGGTGCGTGTGCGTGCGTGTCCAAGATCCTGAGAGGAGAATGGAGGAGAAGGGATTGCAGCGTGACCATCCCCCGTGGGGGGTGATTTCTTGCTTTCTGTCTCTATGTCTCTGTCTGTCTGGTGAGCGCACACGCCCTATAGTGAAAACCTCTCCAAAAAAAAAAAAAAAAAAAAAATTCCAGGAAAAATATTTACCAAAAAAAAAAAAAAAAAAAGATTCCAGGTGAAATATTGCTTCCCGGAGGATGCCTTCTCTGGCCTCTCTCCCTGGCACACTGGAAACTCCCCTCCTGCATGTTCACTGGCACTCTATTCTTTTTTTTATTTAATTTTTTATTATTATTCATTCATTCATTTTTATTTAACCAGAGAGAGAAAGCGAGAGAGCAAGCCAGCGGGTCTGGGACTCGAACTATGGTCGACCATGTGGGAGTGTTCAGCACCTTAACCACCATGCCACCTGCTGGTCCCCCTTCCTCCTGGGTAATCCTTGCTGGTTTTATTCAGATCATGCTTCCTTCCCTTCTTCCATCAAGCTCAGCACAATACCTAGTCCCTGAGGTATATTTAACAGATGTAGTTAAAATTTAAATGAAGGAAGACATGAACGTCTTTATTGGCCCTGAGTCAATCTTTTAGCTTGTCTAAACTTGTTCCCTCATCCGACAATGGTGTGAAGTTTGTAAGTTTGCGATAAATGTAAAAGGTGCCATGAAGGTTTTTTGTTGTTTTTGTTTGTTTGTTTAGTATTATTCAAAACTAAAGGTTCCTGGGGGCGGTGGGGGGGGGGTCCTCTTGGGAAGTGCCAATAGAATCTCAAGGCTAAGCCCTTAAGTGCCTGCTTGGGTTTCTCAGATTTCTCAGTCCCTCCTCTCACTATATGCCAAGCCTCTGTATCTCTTCAAAAGTCCTAGGTTCCTGGGGTAAAGCCCAGTTACCTGGGCTATCAGAACTGATAGCCTCCCTTTCTCTCTACTCCTTGGTACGGTTCTTAGCCAGGATACCACCCTTGCTGTTTGATTTCCAAGTGCTGCTGGGGGCAGTAGCTACAAGAGAGAGAGGACTGTGTGTGTGTGATAGAAAGAGAAAGAGAGGGAGCTGTGAACTGCAAGAGGGCATAGCCCAAAGCTCTCCTTGTCCCCAGGCCCAGACCGGAGTGTCTCCTGCCTCGCCTTCCTAAAGACTCGGGCAGCCCAGTTGGAATCACCTGCTGCTTCTCTGCTAGCCAATGGGCCTGAAGGTGAGGCCAGAGCCCCAACTGGGTGGCATGCTCTTCTCTAAAATGTGGTCATTTCAGGCCAGGGTTGGGCAACAAGGGCCCCTGGGCACCCACTTCATGCTCCCTCTGCTGTTTCCTTCTTCAGAGCCCACACTGACAACACCCTCAGCCTGCCCTCTAGCAGAGCAATCTTTAGAAGCAGGGAACTGACTCCCACTGCCTCTGAGTCCAGCCTCTCTGCCCTGTTGTCCCACAGTCTCTAGGAGGGCTAGTTAGACCCCAGGAAATCTGCAAGTGAAATGAACCACTGGCCATTTCCAGAAATGCACAAGCCCAGAGAACACCGTTTAGTCAGGTTAAATTAACACAAACACAACCTTTACCGGAAAGCTGCCAGAAACAGCCGCAGGCATCCTGGCAGAGGAGCCAGAAACAAATGGGAAAAGACTATATGGTGGAGAGCTGGCAGGACCTTGGAGATCAGCTGTGTAGCCTGCTCATTTTATAGTGGAAGAAAATGAGGGCCACTGGGAGTTAAGGAGGGGGCCACTGGGTCTAGACCTGCAACCAGTCGACATTCGATACTTATCAGACCCCAAGCTTCAGTAGACTGGGTCAAAGTCCAGCCCTAAGATTTTTAGGTCTAAGATTCTGAGCCAAAGTGCTTAGATTTTAAGTAACATTGAAAGTTAAAAGCAGCTATTTGTATTGTTCTGGTAGCAAGGTAAGGCCCAGGACTGTGTGTTTAATCCTTTGTGTTCTGGTTAACAAAGAAGGCCACTTTCTTCCTTAATTCTGACTCCTTGCCTGCCCAAGCTTCAGTTCTATTAGTATCGCATGCCTTTAAAAGACTCTCTCTCTTTCTCTCTCTCCGCCCTCCTCTCTGGGGCACCCATGGCTTCTGCTTTATCCAGTGGGAACACAGATCATCCTCATTTCTCCAGGGAGAAAAAGAAGAGGATTCTATAATTCAGTCTTTGGGGAGTCCCCAAGAAAAAGCTAATATGCTAAGAGTCTCATTTCATAAAGACTTGATAAATAAACCCACATATAAGCGGACTTCAAAAGTTCAAGTGTGAGGTCAGTAGGTGGCATGGAGGTTAAGGCAGCTGAACCTCACATGGCCAAGTCCAGGGTTCAAGCCCTGTATCCCATGGCTTGAAAATCACGCCCTGCTTATGTGTGTGTGTATGCCTCAAAATCCCAAGAGGTGAAAAGAGGATAGGAGATTATGGCGTGGCTATCCCCTCTGGGGGGTGATTTTTCGCTTTCTCTCTCTCTCTGGTGAACACATGCACCCTATAGCAAAAAACTAAAGGGGAAAAAAAAGTACAAGTTTGGTTTAGTGCAAAAATTTCAAAATACATGCAAAATATTTTCATAATTTGCATTTTCCATGAATTTTTTGAAGTCCCTTTACAGCCAAGAATTGTGACTGACAAGCCAAATAGAATCCCTTCAAGGACAACCCTGTGTGCCTGCCACCAGCAACCCCAGACCAGTGGACAAGTTCCATGGTGTGTTTAAAATAAATGTATGTACTTGTGTGCATGTACACACACACACACACACACACACACACACACACACCAAACTTTTTTTTAGAGAGAGAGAGATTTTTGCTACAGGGCATATTTACTCACCAGAGAAAGACAGAAAGCAAGAAATCACACTACAGGGGGCATGGCCACACCACAATCCCTTCTCCTCCATTCTCCTCTTGGGATTTTGGGAGGAGATCCCAAAACTCACATGTGCCCAGCATGTTTTAAGCCACCAGGTCTGGGACTCGAACCATGGTGGACTATGTGTGAGTCCAGCAACAAAACCATTATACCATCTGCTGGTCCCAAAATTTACTGCCAAAGCACAAATCTTCTGAGCTTCCCTCCATAGCCAAAGCTAAATTCCTTTTTCTCAGGAAGGCTGTCCTGGTTGGTAGAGAAGGAAGAGGCTATTGAGGCACTGAAACCAAAACCTATAAAGAAGAAGAAGCTTCTTCTCCAATATAAACTGATAACAGTAATTCTAACTGATCAAAATGAAAGAGATAGATGTTTGCACTGTCGTCTCAGCACAGGCTCAGAGGCTCTGCCCTGAATACTCAGGAACCCTGGGCCCGGCGCACACAACAAAGCCCCTTCTCACTTCTTCTTTCCCTTCCAGGTTCTGTCACTTTCTGGAGGCTGTTTGGTGGGGCTGGCCTCGTTGCAAACTTCACTCCTGTAAGTTGAGCAGTCCATTACAAATAACCTCCCTGCTATGGGGTTGTGTTTTGTGCTTTCTTTTGTTTTGTTTTGTTTTGACACTGGTCAACTGTATGGTACAGCAACTCTGCCAGGCTCCAAGCCCTTATCTTCGCAGCATTTCTAACTCACTGGATGATTCGAATGGGCAGAATGACTAGTTCTTACCAATCAGTTGGATAAAACATTTTACTTGCCACCATTCGGCAGGAAAGCTTTGTCTGTAATGGGTCCTTACATGTCTCTTTAATGGCCTGTGTGTGTGTCTCAGTCCAAAGGGCAAGCCCAGATCAGCAGCATTGCAGTGACAACAGGAGATGCTCTCGCCTACCTGGCTGACCAGCAAGGCTTTGTGCATATCTACGACATCAAGGAGTATGGACTACAGGGACTGGAGCCACAGCCACCCAGGAGTACGCAACACACTTCCTTGTGTTAAACACTAGCATGAGCACAGCTTCAGTTTTAATGTAATATTCTGGTTGGTAAAATTCAATTAGACCAGTGAGGAGGGATTCTCTTAAAACCCTTTAAAATCAGATTTAGAAAAAATTGTTTTAATGAAAATATTCAGTCTTGGCAAGAATGCAGGAAAATGGGCCTTCATCCATTCTTAAATGGAGAGTAAATTGCTGTTTGCTATCTGAAGGGACAAGTTGATAATATGCATCTACAATTTTAAATGGCAATTCTACTTCTAGGGATTTGGCTGAAATAGGTAATAAATGTGCACAGGAATTTGGTTATAAGATTGTGTATAACATAATGTTTATTAGTGACAGAAAAGAAAAGACAATGCATATGTTCAGCATAAAGAGCATTGATTAAATCTGTGCTGGCATAATACCCTAGAATATTATTTAGTCATTAAATAACGATGCCGCATGTGAAAATGTATTCACAGAAAAACTTTCATAAAAATTGTTCAATGAAAACAAATCAAATCACAAAACACGATTACAGTACAATTCTATCTTTGTTAAAACAAAGAAGTATATGCAAAATTGAAAGTCTGAATAGATATATACCAAGGTTTTAACAAAGGTTCTCATATGCTGAAAATGTTAAAGTTCTTTCATATAATTATAAAAGAGCTCATGTTTAGAATAGAAATTAAATAGGACAAAAGAAAGAAAGATGAAAAATAGTAGTTCTTTCTGTAACCTCCCCTACTCTCCTCCCATTTCTGCCTTCTGGTGACACTGTTAATAAAACTTTCAAAGAGTGTGTGTGTGTGTGTGTGTGTGTGTGTGTGTGTGTGTGCACGTGTATCCAAGAACACACATATATACACAACAAGACATTATTTCTCAAACTTTTTTTTTCTGTATATCTCTTAGGCAACTTCACAAATAAACATTCTAACCTGTACCTCATTTTAAAATAGCTATATAATATTCCATTCAATATATTTCTTGAAAACCAATTTAGAGGTAGCCACATAGTTTTTAATTCACCTTTTCCTGCTCCATCATGGAAGTTTGAATAAAAAGTAAAAAAAATCAGAATTTAGAATGATCTGCCTTGTGTTTGTTTTTATTCCAAGTATGGGAATATAGCTTTTACTGAGTTGTTTTAACAATCATTTTCGAGGGAACAGCAGTTGGCGTAATGGCTATGTCACTGGACTCCCATGTAGCCAACCGTGATTTGAGTCCTGGACCCAGTGGCTTAAACTCACACTGGGCACAGGTGCACACATGCCCAAGAACCTAAGAGGAGAATGGAGGAGAAGGGATTGAGGTGTGGCCATCCCCCCTGAGGGATGATTTCTCACTTTCTGTCTCTCCATCTCTATCTTTCTGGAGAGTGCACATGCCCTATAGCAAAAACCTCTGCCAAAAAAAAAAAGTAAAAAAAGAAATCATTTTCGATTACATGTATATTCCTGCATGCTTACCAAACCCTAAGCACTGAAAAAAAAAAAAAATAGTGTAAGCACCTTGCACGGGTTCAGTTTTCTCGGTCCTGGAGATGCTGGGGGGTCCTACTCGTAGTGCTCACACAATAACACTTTTCAGTGAATGTAGCAAGGCCTGTCATTTGCCACTCCAATACCCCTCCCTGGTGGACACACGTCCAGATCGGACCCATCCTTCAAGAACTAGCAGCTAGCATCACGAGTATTACCTCTCTTAGCACTCAGATATGTTCTTTTAATTTAGATGTGATGTTCTGGAGAGCCCACATCAGCATGGTGACATCGTGAGTACCACCCTTTTCACAGTTCAAGAATTTGTACAAGAGTTAAAATCATTTTCAGTTTCACTAAATCAATCTTCTCAGGAGTCCTTTGGGTTACACAAAAGAGGAAAGCAGTTTTTTTAATTCTGCTGTGAATGAGAATGTATCTATTACCCACACAGCTCTAACAGGAGATGGAAAATCTTTTTACTTGTAAACAGGTGGTTGTTTTTCTTGAATTCACCTGGCATTTTAATGTACATTTATGAGCTTAGTAAGTATAAAATATTTCACTGGGGTTGAATGAAGTCAGAGCTGAGGGTGAGCCCTGAGCTCTTACCCTTCCAGATGGTTCTTTTCAAAGCTCTTTATCTTCCTCCCAAGTCCAATTACTCACAAGGTAGTTTCTGGTATAACTTGCTTAATATCTTGGGACTGGATCTGAGGATTGTAGAGGAGTGTGATGTGATGGGAGGAGGAAAAAAAAAATGGTACCAAGAATAATTCAGGAGATTAACCTGGTTTCCATATTCCAACTTTAATTAAAGGAGTATTGATCTATTATCCTTTGCATGTGGTAACAGCCTTGAAGAATCTCTCCTCCCCTTTTCTGTTATTAGTTTAGAACTGATAGAAGAAGAAAAAGTTCTGCTGTCATCCTCCCTTGACTGCACTGTGCGCTTATGGAGCAGAGATGGAGAGTTCATAGGTATGGACCACCCATCCAACCTCCACTTCAGTCCCAGTTTAGGGCCATGGATACGAGCCTGCATTGAGTTATGAATCCCCTGAGTATTGATCTGCCTGGGCTACCATAACAAAATGCCATAGACTGATCGACTTCAACAACAAACATTTATTTCTCACAGTTCTGAAGGCTGATGTCTCAGATCAAGGTTCCAGCACGGTTGGGTTCTGATGAGGGCTCTCTTCTGGTTTATAGATGGCTACCTTCTGGCTGTGTGCTAACACGGTAAAGAGGGAGAGAGCTCTACAGTGTCTCTTCTTACATGGGAACTAAGCCTATCAGATTAGGGTCCCACCCTTATTACCTCATTTAATCTTAATTATTTTCTTAATGGCCATATCTTCAAATTTAGTCACATTTGGGGTTAGGGCTTGAACATAGGAATTGGAGGAGAAGGAAGACATAATTCAGTCCATTGAATAACATTAGCTTACTTTCATAAAAATTAGCAAAATCAATGAGATCTAAATTTAGAGAACTGAGAGTGAATGTGTATGTTTAGTAAAGGAATGTGTTATCATGAGGAACATATCTTGGTAGGGACTATTTAGGACGCAGGAGGGCTATGTGGTGAAGTTCTGGCATGTGTGACTTACAGTAACCAACATAGCCTGATCTGCCCAGGACTCTGTACCTGTGTCAGTGGGTCATCTTGTTCACTGACTGATATTTCCTCAACAGAGGTGCTATAACTAGAATTTTAAATTTGTCCTACAGTGTCTGAGTGCATTGAGTGGCTTATATACCCATGCGATACATTTTGTAGGAGGTATTGTAGGCTTCAGTCTCTAAGGTCAATTACCTAGGAATTGTTTCTTATAGAAACAGAGAAATAGAATTTCATTTGGTTCATATGGCCTAGCAAGGGTTAAGGAGACCTAACAATGTTAGCAACAGCTTTGCTCTGAATAGAAGACAACCTTCTATCATACACTTTTTATTAATTTATCTCTATTCTTTCAGGAACTTTTGGACAGAGCAACCCCTGGGATATTTTCACTCCTGCCTCCTGGAGCCATCCAAGAATCCCCTGTGAAATTCTGACTGATCCCCAGAGCATGCCTGCTCACTCAGTGCTGGAAGGAGATGTTCCCACTATGCATGAAGAGGGAGAGGCAGAGCAGGGCAATGTAAGGGGCAGAAAGCCCTGTGCTGATGTTAGTGTTAGCACATTCAGTTCACCTTGTTTACTTTACAGCTTCTGGGCAGATCAGCATGGACTACAAACCACAGCCTGCAGGAGTTAGAGAACCAAGTAAACATAGGGATAAAGTTGTGTTCCTTCCTTTCCAAGATCATGGTATTGACCAGGAATGGGATGACTTGTTGGTCCATCTGAGAGGAAGATTGGGGTTGATCTCTTGGTATTGTCCTTCTTTTGACCCCCCCAAAAACCAAACAAACAAACAAAAAACACTGTTGTTCCTGGCCTTGGAACACAAGGAGACAACCCCATGCTCAAACCAACTGTCATCTCTTAGAGAGACAACACTGAACATTCCGTCCACAGCACACACTCACCACTGTGGAATGCATCAACAAGCAAGAGGAAGAAATCATCAGTGTAATGCCTAAGTCTATGAAAGTTAAAATAGGCGCAAAAGATTTTGGAGGGCCCAGGTCGATGCAGTCTTGATTCAATGCAATCTTGATTTAGAGCTCCGTGAAATATATGGATTTCCAAGAAATGCTTGCCCTTTTATAAATTGAAAAGAAGGTCATTTCATGAGCTATTGCTCACTTGCTATGTTACAACTCAAAGCAAGACACCTGCTCTGCAGCAAAATCATATGTCTTGGGTTTTTCTTTGGCAGCCTCTTAGAATACTGATCACGTTATATAACCTAGTCACTGCCTCCTGCCCACACCTCCAGGCATGTTCAAAATAGGAAATAGAGGGACTAGGTGAGCATAGGTCAGAAAAGCTTCCCTCTTAACCGAAGTCTCCCACATCTCCACGGTTTTGTTCCCAAGGTTAAAAAGAGGTACTATGATGCCAGCAGGTGGCATAGTGGTTAAGGTGCTGGACTTCCACATAGCCAATTGCAATTCAAGTCCTATACCTGGTGACTTGAAACACACTGGGTGCGTGTGTGTACATATGTGCCTAAAATCCCAGGGGAAGAATGGAGGAAAAGGGATTGTGGTGTGGCCATCTTCTCTGGAGGTTAATTGGTCACTTTCCCACTCACTGTCTCTTTCTGTCTCTCTGGTTGAGTGCACGTACCCTATGACCAAAAAAAAAAAAAAAAAAAAAAAAATTTAAAAAAATTTTTGTATAGCTCCACATTCGAATCTTTGATCAAAATACTATGCATGAATTTCCATTCTTTTTTTGCCCCAA